TTTTTTTGAATTAACTTCGTACAAACGTAACGTTGCACGGACATCTGCAGTCTATTAATCATTCGTAGACAGCCTTAGATTCGCAACGTAATAATAGAGAGAGAAACGAGTTGAACTCGCTCGGAATCAGCGCGACGATAAACACGAGCGCACGTACAATAACGAGTTGAGTTTTTCAATTTTGAGGCAAAGAAGATCTCGATATCGAGATCGGTACGATAAGAGAGGAAAGTAAATGCGTGTTTAATTGGATGATCGTTACGTTACGTTTTCATCGTAGTCCTTAGCACGATTAGAAAAGATCGAACGGATATTAAATCGAAAAAGAATTATCGTCGGACGAGCTGTTCTTCTTCTTCTTCTTCTTCTATCTAATTAGTTCAAATCCCCGTTTAGGATCCGATGGATGTTACGGAACGATTGGATATATTTTTTTAAGAAAAAAAGCTAAACGACGAGAGAACACCACGTTAATCAACCTTCTTTGCAACGTTCTTCACCTTCAGGCGGTTCGTGAATATGCTTTCGAATACTGAATTCACGTCGTTTCTCCATCATGAAAACCGCGAACGATTCAATTTCAATTAAACTATCTCTTTGCCCAAATCATTCGATCCCACAATTTTCTAGATCATGTTTCTCTATCATTGTAAAACTCGAATCATCCCATCCGATAGCTAAGATCATTTCAATTCGGATCGTTTGAAAGCATTTTTATAAAAACCCCGGAGCTCGATGCGAATTCTCTAAATTATCCTCAGAAATTCAAATCAAGTTTCACATCAAGTCCCACCAAATCCATTTACCTCCGTCATCGTGAAAGCCTCGAACGATGCAAATTCTCGAAATTATCACTTCCGATTCTTCGAATCGTCAGATAAAAATCCACGAGCGATGCAATTTCGTCGAAATTCATCTTCTTAAATCGAAACTATATTATCTCACGTCGCGGTTTTTTAAATTATTCTACTCTAATCATTGTGAAACGAGCGACGCAAATTCGACCGAATCGTTTTTTTTTTTTTTTTTTTCTAGCGTTATAAAAGCCAACCACGCGCGTTTCGTTAACATCGAGAACAAAAACAGATCTTGCTGAAAGTAGCTTCTTCGAGGCGAACGTCACGGCGAATGAATCAGTGGATTACGCGAGTTTTAATTGGTCTTAATTGATCCGTATCTCGTGATACTCGGTGAATACCCGGAGAAAACCGCTACACGAGTCCGTCAGATGATTTTCACACGATTAGTCGAATATTTGTCTTTCTCTTCGTGATAGATTATTTAAGTGACGAGCGAAAAAACGACGAGAAGTTTCGAATTTCTGACTATAATAAATCGACTCTAAAGTGCAACAAGTGACTAGTTCATTCGTCTAACAATAAGAGGTGAATAGATCGAAGATGAACTTGTCTGGAGAAGTTGTTTGCGCGTATTGCAGCGTAATTATGTTGCTTGGATTTTCTAATTTACACAGGGGAGACAACAAGAAGGCAATCAAATTGCTTTCGTCGACAAATTGTGATTAACCCATCAAAGACCAGGAATTGAAACGAACGCGCGAAAAATTCGCAAACGCAACGACGTAACGCGTAAAATTTACGGGAAACTCTGAACACTTTGAAAACCTGACAGTTCGAAGAAACATGGAAATTTGTAAATTTCGGGGGAGCGAAAACGTTGAAACATGAATATTTCGAGGTATGGAAATCTTTACTCGAAATATGGAGATTTTTAAACGCGTGAAACTTTGAGGATATGGAAATTTGAAAGATACGGGAACACTGAAATATGGAAATTCTGAAATATGGAAACGTCGAAACTCGAAAGCCTTGAAATTTGAAAACTTTGAATAATTTTAAAATACGTACGAACTTTAAAATTCGAGAAGTGGAAAAAAGATTTCGAAGCGTTGAAACTTCAAAATTCGAAAGTCTTATAAACTTGGAAGCCTTGAAACTTGACAATTTCAAGACGAAATATACACGACACATACGTTATTGCAACATTGATTGGATCGGTCCTTGATGGATTAACCGAAGCACCAAAACGGCTTTTCAAAAACATTCCAGACCGAGAACCACTGAGAACGTCTTTGAAAAACGTACCAAAAAATCGAAGAAATCGCAAGAAGAAACGCTCCGGCTATTGATTCAAAATTAACAAGTAGTCAATTCCGCAATTCAGGATTGCACGATCAAGTCTACTAAAAAACGTATCGAATAGCGCCGATACAAGAAGCAACAACAGCTAGAACATCTGGTAGACGGTTGCACGGAATGTGAGAGAGAATCTCATCGGAGAGATTCAATCGATGCTACTAACACTAAACTTGTACTTTACGTATAATCTACATGAGAGTGTTACACTAACGAGACACCGGAGAAAATGACTGCTGAGCTAGTTGATCGCTGAAATTTCCCGTTATCCGGTAATATTCAGTATTTTTCTAAAAAAAAAAAAAAAAAAAAAAATGGGAACGACGACTTTCAGCAAAATCCGATGCGTGCAAGCGAGCCCCACGTCCCTCCTTTTTGCTATCTTCTTCGTCTTTCACTCATTAATACGTTTCTCCGAATTCACGTTCGTTCATTCTTCATCCCCCTTTCTCTCTCTCTCTGTCTCCTACCCATTCTATTTATTATTAATAAGAAATAACTTCGTAAATAACGCGCGCGAGCGAGCGTGTTTGACGATTCTCGTGACTTTATTAACATTCTTTTCGATCTTTTTTTTTTTTTTCTTTTTTTCGTAGTCATCGATCGATAGACAACAATCGACGTGTCAGTTTTATTTTTATACTCGTCTCCTGTCTCCTTTGACCATCCGAGTTAGCTCTCGATCATTTCAACGATTCGTAAAGTATTGTATTTATAAATGTGTATATTATAATAAATATCGCGTTATTTTTTTTTTTCTTCGTTCTTTCGCGTTTTGTCTTCTTCCCTCGCGTGTCACCTCGAAACACCCTTCTTCCACCTTCTCTCAAATGAACGAAGAACATTTGTCAGCTTTTTGCCTGGGACAAACCTTCTTCGTTTGTCGTTTGTCGTTTCTTTCCTCGACTCGGAGAGAACCTGGAACAGTACTCCGTTGTCCAATTGTTTCTCCATTTGGTTTCTCGTTTCTCGGAAAGTCGTTTCATTTGTGTTCGTGGTTTCCGTCCTCGTGGAGATCCATTCGTACGTCAATTAAGAATACCATTTGTCGTAGGAAACAAAATCGGATCGTACAAACTATTTCTCGTTCTATTCCCCGGTACACGCGGCACTTGCCCATTCGTTCCTTCTTTCGTCTACGTTTCTGTTACTTTCCTTCGAGTTCATTCGTCTCCGTTACTTCTTCGTCTCCGTTACTCTTTCTTCCAGCTTTTTTCTCTTCCCAACCAAAGTTTCTCCCTTTTCGTTCTCTTCTTTCTCTTTCCCGTGATCCCGGTTCCTCACCTAATATACTGCTTTCGCTCGGCAATAATTAATAATTAATTATAGTAATAGTAGTAGTCGTAACGTGTAATGATAATCGTGTAATAACAATGATAATAAATCAATAATCGTATTTTTTGTTCTTTTTTTTTTATACAACAATCACACGTAGAAGCGACGAATTAGAGTAGTAGAAATAACTATCCCTTAAGTTTTAATCTTTTTTTTTTTTTCTTTATGTTTATATTTATATTTATAATATAGTATCTGCAATATGTTAAATTTCTTTCTTCTTCTCTTTCTCTTTCATCTTTTCATTCGCCTTTCCGTCCCCGGTTTCCTTTCCGCCGCTGTTTCCATCCCTCGCATTCTCGACTCACACTCTGCCGTCAGCTATCACTATACATGTACATACGGTAGGTCGCGGAGTGCACACGCGCGCAGGCAGCCCGAACTCGAGATTACATTGACAAAAGCGTCAATCGTTAAAATAAAGAAAAAAAAAGAAAAGATACAAATTGCTATAGCGTCGAGATCGATGTCATTTTCAAAGTGATCTGAAACGAGAAAAATGAATGTTGTCTCATTCGGAAATTTCTTAGCGTTCGTTGCGTTACTCGATAACTTACAATCACAAATGCTCGACGAATAAAACATTATAAAATTCATTAACATTGTAAATTTATAATACATCATAAAACATTATAAATTTCGTGAATGAAGAAACAAGGTTGGAGAAAATTCTGTAAAGAATTGCAATTTGACGATTTTTTTAAAAATCGTTGAACGATTTCGCGCCATTTTTTTTTTGAACGCGCGTGCCACGAATGTTCGCGCGTCTGCACGCGTGCGCGCACATAGATGTGTCATAAGATATATATATATATATATATATATTAATAATATATATATATATATATATATATAATATAACAAGATCGCAAAAATGTTCCTCCGATTATTTATTTACTCACGGATGGAGAACTGTCTCCTTTCTCTTTCTTCACCGTTCCCTCTCCCCCTCCCCACCCCCTCCTTTCCCGGCCTCCTCGTCCGAAAAAACATGTTCATTCTTTCCTATTATATATAATATATATATATAAATATATATATATATATATATATATATATATATTTATATATATATATAATATATATATATATATTTATATATATATATAATATATATAATCGATTTATACTCTCGTAAAGTCGTATTTAATAATTAATTAATTAATTAATTAATAGAGGATGTACGAACGGTGTAAGAAAGATTTATCGTGTGTTATATTTTTTTTTATTTTTTTCTCTATCCTTTCTCTCTCTCTCTCCCTCTCTCTCTCTCTCTATCTATCTATCTATCTATCTATCTATCTATCTATCTTGCCTCTTCCCGTTTCTTCTTTCTCGTTTCCCATTACTTCCATTCTTCTCTGAACGAAGAAGTGTTGGATAAATCCGACGAAAAATGTGTTCGATCGCAGATCACCCAAGTTCCTCCCCCCCTCCCCCCGTATTTCTCTTAAAATGTTCGTCGAGATATTGTATTATCTACTCTTCACTCTCGTTGCTGCGCCGCGGCTTCCCTCTTTCCACGTCCTCTCCTTGCTTTGTCCCTTTCGTTCGTTCGTCTCCTGGTTCGCCTCGACGAACGCCAGGAAGAGTGAGATCGATGCACGGCCAATGTTCATCGAGCTACACCAACGAAGCCATATTCGCTCATCGATCGTTCTTCTTCTCTCTGTTCTTCATCCTTCTTTCGCCCTTCCTGCGTTTCGTAATCGTAAACAGCAAGAGTTCGCGCCTTTCCATTTCTCTTTTATCTCTCGCTTTATCTCCCGTTTCTTTTTTTATTCTCGTCGGCACCTCGTTCGATGTAGCTCGGCAACGAGTCACTCGGTAGGACTCTGGTGATCGATTCTGGTTGAACGAAACGTTACGCGGTGCATGCCACGGCGCCTGAACACACGCGTCGCACCAGCCGCGAAATTGCCTTACGACGATGAGGTAATAACGTTTAAAACATCGCTCTTCTCTCCCTCTCGGACTGTCGCGCCTCGACATCTCTACGTGCCCTGTCTGTACACGCGAGCATATGCACCGATTCGAGGGGGGCGTATGCGATCGTCTCGAGGAGGGGCAGCTTCCTCTCGATCGGCATTTTTTTTTCTTTTTTTTCCTTTTTCTTTTCTCTTTCGAAAACGTGACTGTCTAACTCAAATCAAAGCTTACTCTCGCCTCGAGCATAGTTCCGACGCTCGTCAAGCGTACATACGGTATCGTTTATAATTGCACGGTTTATCAATTATACTAACGCTTCTTACTCTCGCTCTCTCTCTTTCTCTCTCTCTCCCATTTTTTTTTTTTTTTGTTCGTTTTGTCATTTCTCTCTAATTACACGCAAGATTCGTTAACTCTATACGTCGATACAGTTAATCTTCATTCTCTTCGCTGAACGAACCATGGACGAACGAACACGGACGCATGTTCGAACGTTCGACTAGGAAAATTATCAACGATACAGCAGGTACACTTTCGTTTCTTCTCGTTCGTCGTGATGACTTTAACAAAGAGAGAGAACACGTCTGTCAAGTTTCGTTTCTCCTTGCTTTAATTCTTCTCACGTTATCCGTTTCCCTTTCCTCTCCCCCCCTCCCCCGGTGTGTCGTAGCGAGAGACGAGAACGAAAATTAGAAGAACGAAATTACAATGGAAGAATGTTCGGGTGCGAACTAAATATCGCGTTGGATGCCGACGTGCCGGCGCCATCTTCGTCGATCGCGGCTTTTCCACCATTCTACCACGTGTGTGCCCACTTCAAACGACCCTCGATATTACTATCTCAGAAATTTCCGAATTCTTCATCTGTGGTTAAACAAATTTCCTTCCTCTCAACGAAGGCCATCCACGATGCATTCATGTCTTTTTTTTTTTTACCTCTTTTAACGAAACTGGATTTCCTTCTTCAGACTGTAGATCTTCAGAGTTGCACGATGGCTTTGTTCTGTCTTTTCCTCGTTCGTACGAACTCCTCCGGCAACGTGTGTTCCTCCACCGAGCACGTTGTTCCTTTCGGATGCAGGAAGTTCGCTCTTCGATATAGGAAGTCGTATGTGTACCGATGATTCTTCTCTCAGATATAAAACGTATAGACGGAATAAAATTGTTTCTCGATTTCTAGTTATCCTGGATGCAGGATTTCCCTCCTGGAAATTGAGACAATTGTTTTGTTGGTTCTTGCGGATCTTACAGAGATTTCTCTCTCCTCTCTCTTTCTCTCTTTTTCTTTAAATTCTTTTGGAATTTGTGTTCCATCAAGTTTTTTCACCTGTTTCTTTTTCTTTTTCTCTTTCTTCATTTTTTTCTGCACTTTCAGTCGAACGTTCCACGTCTCGCAAGTGCATTTCTAAGATATTTATCTACTTATATTCGAGTTACTCCCTCGATCGAGTGATCTTACATTACCGGTGACACTTGTTAGCAGAACTTTAAAAAAAAACGGTAATCTTCATCGATGAGAGACATATATATATATATATACTCATATAGACAGAACAGTGCCCCTCACAACACGCAGCCATCTCTTCTTTCGCCAGTCTCTTCTTTCTTCGTGCTCCATCCTCGAGAGAATCGCCCCGATTCACGCGGAGATCGTCTCCCGTGAATTATCCGAGGCCGATGCACACAGGTCACGGTGGTTTTCGTGGTAAGTACGCTTGGGCAGGTACTGAGGCGAGTTTTCGAAATGCCAATTCTAACTCTGACACTCTATTTCGCCTTTCTCCGTTCCATCGTTCCCGTTTTGTCGCGCTTAATACTAACTATACGCGTATTGTGTTCTATACGTGTATGCATTACATGTACGCGTTTCTGTGTGTGTTCGTGTGTGTGTGTGTGTGTGTCTGCACGATCGATAAATAAATAAATAGATTGAACGATCGTGTTGTACATTTATTTATTTATCGAAATCGAAAGAGGTATATATGCTTGTGTGTGTATGTGCGTGTGTGTGTGTGTGTGTATCTGCTTGAAATCGCGTGTTGTTGTTCCGTTCGTTCTAACGCGTCGAGGCGACGAGCGTCCACCGACACATCGGCCCTTCCTCTATCTTTCCCCCCCCCCTCCCCCGTTTAACCCTTTCTTTTTTCCCACCCCCGCGTCGCGCCGATTTACTTGTGATTGTAGGTGAACGGCGACGGACCAGTGACCGCGCTTCGATGGAAATGCACGTTCTGCCATTTGTTGTCCCTCTTGTGCCACACGCGGCTCTCCTCGCTCTGGTGGGTGTGCGCTACGCCTTGCCTGTAAAATACATCGCGATCACGCGTTTTCGGAGTTTCCTTTTTCCTTTGGGAATGGCGGAGGGGAGAGGGGAATTGAGAATCTTCTTCGACTCGCGTTACAAATTTATAAAAATATACGAATGTAAATGTATCGGCTCGATAATTCGAAAGCTGGAAGCTTGCAGCTCTCGTGGCTACAATTCAAAAATTTCAAATATCGTTGGAGTGGATTTATAATTGATCTAAGCGGGATGGCATATTAATTTACTTTCCTTCGCGAGTGTATCCATCTTGCACGTGCAGAAAGTATTTATATATATATATATTTTTTTTTTAGCAGGTGTATAACTTTAAATCGTAGCGATCAATCTTTCGATACAATTGTCGACAATCCTAAATTATATTAATCACGAGAAATTTTGATTATCTTTAGAAATCTTTTATTATCTTCAGAGTCTTTTTAGGCACTCGTTGGGTATTAGTCTCGACGAGTGTGCAATTGTTATTTGTTTCTTGAAATTGCTACTGTCTCTGGATTTTGGAAATAGGCGAGTAGAGATAACGTGATTGGAAGTGAAAGTAAGACTTACTTGTCCATGTTTGATCTAAGCAGGATAGCATATTAATTTACTTTCCTTCGCGAGTGTATCCATCTTGCACGTGCAGAAAGTATTTATATATTTTTTTTTTAGCAGGTGTCAAACTTCGAATCGTAGCGATCAATCTTTCGATACAATTGTCGACAATCCTAAATTATATTAATCACGAGAAATTTTGATTATCTTTAAAAATCTTTTATTATCTTCAGAGTCCTTTTAGGCACTCGTTGGGTATTAGTCTCGACAAGTGTGCAATTGTTATTCGTTTCTTAAAATTGCTACTGTGTCTGGATTTTGGAAATAGGCGAGTAGAGATAACGTGATTGGAAGTGAAAGTAAGACTTACTTGTCCATGTTTGATCTAAGC